ATTACTTTATTTTCTATGCTGCCATGTTTTAGTTTGATAATTCCAACTTATAATTAGTATTTTATGTATCAAACCGTAGGATACGGATGTAAGAACATGTGTCTCTCCTACTCGTTAATAATGTTTCCACCATATAACTAATCTTATTCTGTGAATGAGAACACATTGCATCAATGACCCGAATAAACAAAACAGCCACTGAATTAATCCTGCAAACAATTTAACAATACATGGCCCTTCGACATGAAAAGCGAGCGAAATGTTTTCAGCCGTTGAACCTTATTCGGCGTTTCAAGTGAAGCGAAAATAACTTCTACAATCAAGATTACGCATCACGGCCTAATTCAGAAGGTAGATAGTATTGAACAGCATTAAGCAGCAAAGGTACCAGTGTTCATAGCATGCATACAATCTCGATAGGAGACATACAGTGAGAAATGTCACGCGATAAAGAACAGGGTGATTCCATTTTTATAGCTTCCATTACATGGGAGTCAAACCAACCACACCTGCATTATAAATATAAAATGAGCATATATATTCTCCTTTTAATCGATAAGGGTAACACGGAATATCAGTGAGGTTGGAATGAATTCTCAGACTTTAAATTAAAGTTGTAAGAGTGAATAAAACACATCCAGCATTAGCTCCAAACAACCCAAGTCAGAAAGGAAACAAATTCTGTCAAAATAATATCTGGGGAATTTGTCGAATGGATCCCAAACTCAGCACCAGCTGAAGAGCTTAACCAAGTCTGAAATAGTAGCAACTTTAATACTCTTGTAAGACAATGGCAACTATAATGTTCTTGCAAGACAATGAGAACATTTGTTCTCATAGAAGCCAACAAATATGTATTTGTATCGAAGACAGCCTGTTTTTGCTATTTGGAAGGAAAATTTTAAACTTGACGGGTAGAATTGATGAAATATTTGGTGGATAAGTACAAATATAGTTTGATGGACAAGCATAAAAGAAGTTACACAAATGCGCCTTCTAGAGTTCAGTGATTGTCAGTTATGTAACTAAAATTTTGCGAAAAGAAAGAAATCACATTAAATAGTAGCATATGAATAACTTTCTGACTTCATACTCAACTGATGTAATTCAGCAAAAAAATTTGTAATTTTGCTCAATTATTAGTACAAGTGATGCTTGGGACATTATCACATGGTTTTTAACATTAATGCTTGACATAACAGTTTGGTCATGTCCGAAGCATCGGTCAACCGTTTCACACAATGTCGAACAAGTTAAAGCTATATCAATCATAGTATGGGACTGAGTTATATTCTTCAATCAGTTTCGAGTTGCATCAAAGCCCTTCCCTCTCGATATCAGGGTATTTTTAACTCCAATTGTTACATTCTAGAATCCAATGCCATGGTTTTGTTAACTTCATCAAATATTTCAAAATAGTTCCATGTGGCTTCTGCCTTCAAAACCGTGGTACTAACCAAAACACACACACACACACACAAAAAGGGGCAAACAAATGCCGAAAAGAAAAAAGAAAGCCCTGTGCAAATAATAACACATCGCTCCACATGGATTCTGCCTTTAACAGCTCGTGACTTTCTGAATCTTTCAACATCTAAGAACTAGCCTACCAACTAATTAAAGAAGCCTTTGCACTCTCCCATAACAAGGTCAGAAACTAAATGCTTTTAACTATTATTAAAATAGGAAATATTCCCTTCGTTAGAGTTTGATAGTTTTCCTAATTTACTAGAGATTTCAACGACAAGAGTAGGTTTTTCCATCATAACTGAACTGATATTGATTGCTCCCCTAAATTCTCTCCTCTCTTTCTCCCTCTAATTCTTCTACTTCTCTTCTCCATTTCTCTTCTGCACCCTTCTTGAAGAGATTTTCTTGTATTTTTATGGTGGTGATCTTACTAGATATTCTCTTGAGGACCTAAAAAGAATAGATACGTATTTTAGAAAGAGAAGTTGTCCTTTATTTTAAGGGATTTTCTTGTGTTTGATTTTATTTCCTTTACATATTATTAAGTTAAATTAGGAAATTTTCCCTTTTGATAGTTTGGTAGTTTTACTAGTTTACTAGAGATTTCAACTAAAAGAGTAGGTTTCTCCATTGTGATCAGACTTTATTATTGATTCAAGTGATAGTCTCAGAGTGGAAAGAATTTATAAATAGATAAAAATGAGGGATGGATAAGTGACTAGTACTTGTGAGTCCATTAAAATATTTGGTTGAAAATGAAGTTTTGACTATTTATAAATTGATTTATAAAGTTCACCAAAAGAAGGCATAGTTTTCTCCCCTAAATTCTCTCCTCTCTTTCTAGTTTCTCTCTCTAATTCCTCTACATCTCATCTCGATTTCTCTTCTGCCCCTTCTCTTATATGTTGTCCTTTTTATTATGTGCATCGCTTGATTACACACACACAAATATACATGAATATCTCCCAAATGACTAGAAATGTCTCTACAGCCTAAATTTGAAAACTATTAAAGTAAAGTTCTTAAAGTTGATCTATAAAGACGATATTTTGAAAAATAAAGTTACGAATAGGAAATGTAAAGTTGAATTTTTCCTTCATGGCCTATAAATCCCAAGCTAGAATATTCTAGACTTTAGGTATTCCTTGCCTTCAACCACAGGAAACTCAGAAATGTAAAGTAGGATCTAGCTATTAAACCTTCAATCAAAGAGCTTGCCAAGAAGACCTATGGTCAAAACATTTATAACCAACCTATAGTACAATATTATGATGTGCGATGAAGCTTAAAAAGTTAGATCATGAATTTTTTGCTTTACAATAGTTTTCAACAAATGAGATTCTTGTAAGAAACAAACATTATACACATAAATACATGCACGATAAAACATTCATTAGTCTGTAACAAATAGATTCAAAAATATAAGAAATCCAACATCAACTGAAGCCAAGAACATGGAATATAATCCACATTCACCAAAGTTAAGCATAAGTAGTGGAACCACCCCAGCATGCACAATACTGAGATTTTCTGCAGTTTTTGTTATCAGTTCAAGCAGAATTCCATGATTTGATACTAAAGACTGGAACCACCATAAATTGCAGCTTTCGATCTCAGGTCATAGCAGAAATTTTGCAAAGTGCTCAGGGCCAGTCACTTTTATGGGATCGAAAATTTTCTTGTTCAAGCTTACACAATGACATTCTTGACAATTATAACCACTTGAAAATCCTTTCCTTAAAAGTTGTTTAAAGGTTAGAGCTCCTAATGTGGTAGTACGATTA